AGCAACTAGAAGGATGTGCAACTATGACATACAACTATCTACTGGGGCTTTGGGGGAAAAAATAAATAAATAAAAATTATAAAAAAAAAAAAAAGAAGTTGTGTGATATGAAGCGTGGGCGGCCGCACAAGTACTACAGTGTTGGAAAGTCTCCCTTTGGAGAGACAATCCCTTGAAAATACAAATATCCATGGGAGAGATATCATCTTAAACTAATTCACATTAAGGTGTTCGTAAATTATGGGTGCATTTCTTCTAAATGGAGGTACTAGATGCTTCAGTAAAAATGTGCCTTGAAAATTCAGGGAAAAAAAAATGTGTAGAAAGGAGAGGTGAGGATCCTGGAAGATAAGATTTACTAACATCATAGTTTTCCCTGGGATCAGCCTTGTGAAAGCTTCTCATTTTCTTTTTAAAGAACAGTATAAAATCACTCTGGAAGATGCTAGAAAGAGAATAATCAGAGACACTTTATTGCAACTGGACCAAAAGAAGGAGTGGGCCACAGAGGTATATTTCAATTTTCTTAAAAACAAAACAGAACTTTTTCCCCTATTTTTTCTTGTGTTATATTATAATGGTTAAGAACTTGGGTTCTGAAGTTAAGCAGTTTAGTTTAAATCACAGCTCTACCACTTACTGGGTGTATAGACTGAATTTGTTATTTTTCCGGGCTTCGGTTTCCTAATCTACAATAATAACCTTTAAATAACCTTTAAAGAATAGTATGAGGATTGAATGAGGTGATTTAGGTAGCATAGTGCCTCATAAGGAGCAAGAGCTCAGTAAATTATTATTCAGTTGTTTTTAAGTATAATAATAATGGCTACAACAAATTATTACATAAAAGTTTTAGATGAATGAAATATAATTTATCTAAAAATTACTTTCTTACATATCCAAACCTAAGAGAGTACAGTTTACATTGCTAGAACTTTAAAAATTGGGGATATAAAAAATGTTTGAGATAAAATTTCCAATCTTACATGTTTTCTGGTCTCTGTTTTGCACAAAATATCTGAGTCTCTTTCCCTGTCACTGTGCTTCCCCTCTCCCCAGACTATCTTCTAAATCAGTGAGGTCCCCACTGGGATTTTGTCTGGAACATCCCTTCTTCAGAATCACAAGTGTCTGGTCTTTTCTAAAGTTCTTCACTGAATTTCAGTTGCTATTTTTCGTTGCTTCTCTGTTGGTTCAGTTGTTCTTTCAGTGTTACTATCCTATTACACGATTTTTACTGATTTACACAAATATAGAGGATTATGGAGAAGTGACTAATGGTTTGTCTGCCCATGCAATGTGGCCACTTTGTGACTGAATATAACTAAATGGTGAAACCAACAATTAAGTGATATGACTATAGTTAAGATGATTAAAAATGCATATGTAGTCAAATATGCTTCAAGTATACATATTCAATATATAGTGAGGACTGTTCCAGATACTGTTCCTAGCATTTTACACTTAAGTCGCTCAACAATCCTATAAGGACTCGCTGATGAGAAGACTGGGGCACAGAGAGATTTTGTGACTTGTGCAGAGCAAGTGGCAGAATAGAGGTTCAATTCAAGATGTCCCCTTCAGATCTTTGTTCTTAATCATTACACTGTACATTTTCTTTTCTCTACATAAGGCTGAACACACACTTGCGTGAATGAATTTTCCTCATTTCATCTGGCTATTTTAGCATATAGTTTACTTCCTGTATTCCACTGTTGTGCAACCTGGGCCGTACATTGCAGTCACCTGAGAAATTTGTTTAACCCAGGTGGTGCCTGGGTCCCCCCTACAGAGATGCTCAAGTAATTGGCCTGAGCTGTTGCCTGGGCTTCTGGATTTTTCAAAATGGCCAGGAGATTCTAATGTGTAGCCAAAGTTGAAAACCACTGCTCCATTATTGGTGAATTAAGCCATTAGCCAACTAACTTCATTTATGAGCAACTTCTTAACTTTTGTTCAAATGAAATTCTGTGTTTGAGGAAACTTGAGAATTCTCAGTTGTAGCTAGAATATAAAAGTTCCTGGTTCCTAGGAAATGTGGGTCCACTCTTAGTTTAATTAGCATGATTTAGAGAAAAGAGTTGTTATTGCAAGGCTTCCAACTTGAAAGACTTAGATAAATTTACCCTTAACATATTTTTAAATTATTTCTATCTATGTTTATGATCTAGAAGATTTTTCCTAATTTCTCTTCATTTGGTTGTGTGCTTCAGTTACTAAATATTGAATTTGTAACATGGTATCCACATAAATGTACCTCACAGTTAAATATGATCTGTCATCCACTATAAATTTCCTTTGGGTGAAACTGTAAATATCCAAGTAATTGAAAATGAATTTACATTTTATGAGCCTTCTGACAAAGTAAGGCTTTTCCCGTTTTCTTCGTCAAAGTTTCTTTTTCTAGGAGACTGTCTAGCTACAGCCTGCTATCCTGAAACTATTTGCTATTAGGTTTGTAACATGTATATTGTTATCACTGACATGCAGAAATCTTTCAAATTAAAAATGTAGTAATATAATCTACTCATGCTTTTGCTATATGTTGGATTATGTCTGTGACCATAAACTTGAAGAATGTTTGAGCACTGCTGTTTAGCCATCTTAATTGTGGAGCAGATCAACTTAGTGATTGATTTCACCATGGCAGTCAGACTCAGTCACAATAGAGGCCAGATTGAATGGACAGCCATTGTCTAGTCTCTAAATTGCCTGTATTAGGCGTGTAAATCAGCAAAAACAATAAAGTAGGATAGTAAAGAAAGAACAACTGAACCAAAAGTTCTTAGGTATGTTTCCAAAGTAATTGCAAAACATAATTTAAAATGAATGATGAGATTAGTTGATCGTGCATCAGCACTGATAAAATTGAGGATCACCGTGTGACAACTCTTCCTTAATACAGAAACTTTCTTTTAGAATGCTGTAAGATTCATTGACAAGAGCAGCTGTCGAGAGATCTGGGAGAATGACTGGCTAAAGAAAGAGATAAGTGGAATTTTTAAAAACAATTTCTTCTTTCTTGTTTTTTTGAGCTGGAAATGACTTTTGTTTGTGAGCTGAAGTCATGGGAAAAGCATGGAACTGTGACTGACTGAGGTAAAATAAAAATCAAGTGGAGTCCTAATCTTATTGCAAGCTGTTACTCAAAGAATACCATAAATAATTTCAACAATAACCAGAAATCATTTTTGGGGTCACAATTCACACGGTATACTCAAATACATGAAGCTTCTTTATGCCCTAAAACTGATCTGGCCTTTCTTAGGACCCTACTTCCTTCTGGATGGTGGGAGCAAGGCTAAAGTATCATTCTAACCTTATTCTCTGCTGTTTTAAGTTGCCTTTTTGCAATGATGTGGTCTTCTTTGGATAAATGTTTAATCTTCTAAATTTCCATTCCTCCCCTTGCTCTTCTCCAAGATGTTCCTTTGGTGTATAGGGAGGTAGGGGTACATGCCCTCTTGTGGGGCATGTTACTAAAGAGGGCTCAGATCTAGGAGGTCTCCTGTGGATCCTGGCTCCCTCTCACTTTCTGCTGTGGAGAAGTGTTTTGGTCTGGTCCCTGTACTGGTGACTTCTGAAATGGACTGCTCTGGCCTTTTGGACATTGTGTTGCAGCCAACATCAAACCCAGAGTTACAGCCATTTGCCACTGGTCAAAATGTCCCTGCCCACTGCAGTCTCTACATCCCATCCCAGCTTGGTCCTCAGGCTGTCTTCAGACCTCCTTCTGGAGAGTATGCAGGAATAGTGGACCCCCTGTGCTGCCTTAGACTTAGCTGTCCGCCTGTCTCCCTACCAGTGCTGCAGTACTGTTCTTGCTTCAGCAAGACTTCTAGACCTTCTTTGTTATGAGGTACTGCCTGTTTTCCTTACATTGTACATACTAGTCCCTCTGCCCTTATCTCCTTACCTCCTTACCCACATCTGCCTGGAAAATGCCAACTCATCCTTCAGGCACGGACTTTATCAATTTTTGAGGAATCATTTTGTAACCCCCCCAAGGAAGTCTTCAGTGCTTTTTCCCCAGTGCTGTCTTGTTTCAGTGTAACTCTTGCTAAAATATGTTGAAATTATCTGTTTTTGCATCTTTCTCTTCACTGCACAGAGCATGCTCTGCCTTTTTGAGTATATATCCATGAAACCTAATGAATAATTTATGTTCATTAAATAGCTATTGAATGAAAGAATGTCTATGAGTATAGATATATTCATTGGAGGGATGAATCAAATATACAGCTTAGATGTTGGGTGAAGATGTGAGAGCATGTTGTTGGATGAAACAGGCAGATAATCTTTGGCCTAGATGTTACAAGAGTGCTACCGAGGATGTGCAAAACTCACAACTTTGAAATTCCTTTTACATCCAGACAAGTAGCCACCCAGCCTATGCTTAGATGCCATCCAAGAAAGAAAACTATCTTTTGAGAGAATTCACTTCAACTACACACTGCTCTTGTTAGCAAGTTATTTGTACGTGATTCTCAAATGTACATCCTCAGCACTAACTTGTGTGTGTCTTTAGCTCTGGAGGTGTATTTTTCTTTGCCTGACAGTATTTCCACATAGATGTCCCAAAGGCTCTTCAAACTCAGCATACCTAAAGCAGAACTCATTAAATTTCTCTTTAAATGTTCTCTTCCTGCATTTCCTTTTTCACAATCTGCTCAGATCCCTGAGATAAAAACGTCACTGTCAGTTTCTCCTCTTCTTTTTTTCTTGCTCCCTATTTGACTGAATCGAGTTGGTGAGTCTAGAAAACAAGGAATTTAAAAATTAATATGCTTTCTGTGATATTGACAATTATCTTTAAATTGCCTTTATAAAGTTGTGGCGGATAGGAGTCCATACTATTTCCAAAAACTAATCAAGATGAATCCACAATTTAAAAAAATAAGTATTAATTAAAAGAAACTCAAGGTGAGCTTAACAGTTAAAGAATATTAGAGAGGAATTTTGTTCTTTTGCTTTTATTAAATACAACAGTATGATCCTAACGATAATAACTTAATTCAAATCTTAAATCTTGTAAGTTGTCATAGATATTGGGTTTCAAGAAAATGACTACAAAAATTTATATTTGACTGATAAGAAATGTTGTTTTGGTGCCTTGATCCTTCCCACTAAAGCCATAAATTATGTTTTGTTTTGTTTTATTTTTTACTTCTCATAATTCAGTGGAAATAAAAGACAGAAAAAATGTCAAGTTTAATTGAATCTTCAGCAAGAGGAGCTTAGTAAGAAAGGATAAATCGTTTTAAGGAAATTCAATAGATTTAATTTCTTTTTATTTCAATAAATATTCATTTTAACATTATTAAATTTTCTCACAAAATTAATTAAAACCATTTCTGGTTATAAGTACTATCACAAGAGTTGAAAATTGTCTGGAAATAGAACAATGTATGTCAATTAATTTCTTTGAGGAAGGTTTAGAATGAGTAACAAGGGATATTTAATAATGGAACTCCTGAAAATATTTCTCCATTTAACTATCTCTCAACAATAACTAAAAACTTAGATCTCTGGGAAGGATGTGAGACCTCCTATACATGACTGTCATTATCTGGTTTTATTTAGCATGCTTATTAGGAAAATGAAGAAAATTGAAATTTCCAAATGACTTAGAATAACCTAACAAACGGAAAGCCAGAAAAACTAGACAAAAGGATTCAAAGAGGTTAGCAATCAGAGTTTCAAGTGTGGGGAGGCGTAAAGCTAGCTTGGATCTGGCAGGGGAAAATCAAGAGCATATATTTAATTCAGGATCCTAGGTCCCTGACTTATAATAGTTTTAACTAAATTGTCTTTCCCTTCTGCCTAGAATGTATCCTCTCTTGTCGGCCTAGAGAATCTCTACTTGGCCTTCGAAATCATCTGTTCTGTTAATCCTCCCTTACCCCTCACACCTGGCAGACGCAGGGTGAACCTCTGTCTCCTCCCACAGCAGCTTCCGTTACAGTTTTATCACACTGTATTCTGTTTTTATCCCCATCTTTCTCACTAGGCTAAGAGATCCTTGAAGATTATTGTATTTTATTGATCCTTTGTTCCTAAAGTGTACTGTAGTTTCTGGCACATAATAGACATGCAGTACGATTGAATGAATGAATGAACATATTTCTCAGAACCACCCCAGCACTCAAAGAAAATGTAATTGTATTATAGAGGCTGATAGAAAGGACTACTAGGCCTGTACTTCTGTTTTTTTTTTTTTTTTTTTTGGTAAGGAAGATTAGCCCTGAGCTAACATCTGTTGCCGATCCTCCTCTTTTTCCTGAGGAAGATTGGCCCTGGGCTACCATCCGTGCCCATCTTCCTCTACTTTATATGTGGGACGCCTGCCACCGCATGGCTTGATATGCGGTGCATAGCTCTGCGCCTGGGATCTGAATCCACGAACCCCGCGCAGCCAAAGCAGAGTGCGTGAGCTTAATCACTACGCCACTGGGCCAGCCCCTGTACTTCTCTTTTTAAAAATGCTGTGATATAGTATTTGTTCCAGTCTTATTAGTTTTCTGTGTTGTTTACAGTTAACCTTAGGTAGATCCTCATATACCACATTGATAAATTAATTAATTTTATTTTCTTATTTATCTCTGCCTCTAGCTCATATGCAAGTCCAGTGATTTTTTGAAGGGTAAGGAAGGACAACTCCTGCCATTCAGTAATAACTGCCTAACCATGCAAACAAGTTCTGCAAATGATCTAGAAGAGTCCTACCCCTTCCTTCTTAGAGAGGAGGACAAAGCAAACCCAGTAACAAATAATACAGGATAGATCTTCCCCTCAGGCGAATGCACTTTTAGGGGTTGAATTTCCTAAAGACGACTAAACAGAACTAAGTCCATAGGTACCAACATCCATTCTCTTCCTCTGAAAACAGATTGCAAATCACAGGAAGGAAGTTGAAGAATTGGAAAATGCTATTTATGAACTGGAAGAAGAAAATTTGGTGCTTATTGATCAACTATTCAACTGTAGACTTGTGGATCTCAAAATACCCAGGTGAAATATCTAGAAAGTATTTTGTAAACATTTATATCTGTAAAAAGTTGTTGTTTTTTAAGATGATTTAATTCTTTAATGCTCCAGCCAGATTGCAATAGTTGAAAAGAAAGGAACTCACAAAATAGTCATGGTAAAGGTATAAGATTATTACAATTGACCATTGGTACAGTGCAAACTTTGACTTGCTTTTTCTAGCAATGCACAGTAGTCATCATAGCAAATGCTTAACATGACCATCACAACTGTTGACCTTCAGAAGCCTCCAGGCCGTAGGGGAAATGGGCATGAAAATATTAACAGTCCCACCAAAGATGTTTGAGGGCGGACTTAGCACAAAGGAGGAAGTGGTCAACTTTGTGGTAGCTTCCTGGAGGTGCTCTGGGCCTCTGGTTACCTTGTGGACTATAGAATTGTTTCCTTTGGTAGTTAATGAAAGAGTCGAACTACCTTATAGGCAGAGAAAATAGCCTGGCATTCTGAGTCACATTTATTCTTGCGCAAGAGAAACCAAATGTGTACGTGGCTTTGTATTTTAGATTATCTCTTTTTCTTATCTGACAGAAGAAGTCTCAATATACTAATCTTGATGGAAACTGGGACCCTGGAACATAGAATTAAAACTCAAAGTGGCATTCATAATTTGGACAACTAGTCAGAAATAAGAAATAATCTAAATAGCGTGTTTAGGAAGAGAAAGAAAGCAAATCACACAATTGTAGGGTGTACATGTGTGAGATGGGAGACACATGTCTGGGTCTAGGAATTAAAGCAAAGAAGTTCAACACGGTGGAAGGACCGGAAAAAAATTTGCACCCAAGTATTTCCTATTGCTTGTGTGGCATGGAAAAATACTATTTGAGGCATTATAAAGTATTTGTTGTTTACAAGCTTTCTAAGGTGTTCCAAGAAGGGTGGATACAGGTAAGTTGTGAGGTTTTTGTTTGCTGGGTTAAGTGATGGGTGTCAGATACAAGATTGGAGAAAATGGGAAATAGTGCAATTACTTGATAGGCGGAAAGCTGGGTGAGGCAGGATAGAGAAAGAGGCTGCCTTGCCCTCCCTTCCACGATTTACATGTGCTGCCCTGGAGAAGTAGATACTGATGTAGATGATGTAGGTGCTCAGGCTGAATGAATCATCAGGCTGAATGGACTCCTGTATTTCCAGTCTCTTAAGCTGATGCCCTTGAGGGTCCCACTGTCCCCCTAGTAGGCAATATTGTCTTTTGCCAGCCATCCTTTTATGATCAGGTCTCCCGCTTCCACATTCCGTCCTGCCTCTAATCCTTGCCATCTGCTGCTGCTGTTGCCTTCTTTGTAATCATGTCTGATCTCTGCCAGCTGTTGCTGGTGCTATGGCCTCAACCACTGCTCTACCTGCTGTTCCCTGACCTCTTTTCCTCTTTTCTGAACCGGCCAAACTTTAGGAAAGAGCCACCCTCTAAACTGCCAACTCTGCTTCCTGCTTCAGTCAGTGCAGTCTGCTGTATTTGATTTGGCGCTGACATGGATGTGAAGTGCTAATTATAACAAAAGGGAATTCCTTGGCCAGAGAGAGCTTGGCAAGGGCAGGAAGGGAGATGAGAAACTTTTAATGGGGATTTTTATTAAGTTGTTTGCTGTGCCATATGCAATTTAACACTATCCTGTCTTCCCCACAAAAATCTTCAGTAAAATCCACATTGTTCATCAATGCTTTGTGGATTGGTTTTCTTTTTTTGTGTGGGTATGTAAGGAAGATCAGCCCTGAGCTAACATCCATGCCAATCCTCCATCTTTTTGCTGAGGAAGATTGGCCCTGGGCTAACATCTGTGCCCATCTTCCTCCACTTTATATGGGACGCCACCACAGCATGGCCTGACAAGCAGGATCTGAACCCGGGCCGCCAGCAGTGGAGCACGCACACTTAACTGCTATGCCACGGGGCCAGCCCCTGGAGTGGTTTTCTTCGTTGAGAGATATGAGTGCTTAGTCTTGCTTCAGAGTTGGGAGAGATGAAATCAAAATCTCTCCAAGGGAAAAGAAATGGGTGACATTTATAAGAACTGGGTTTGGTGCCCTGGTGTAGGCTTCCATGGGAGCCTGAACTTTTCCTTTGTAACCAGCATTTATCACACTCATGATTACTTCTTTAATGTCTGCTTCCTTGCTAGATTGTAAACTCCTTGAGACAAGTGTTAAGGACATTTTAGAAAGATCTGTGTAAAGAAACAAAGACATATGTAAACCCTCAATTATCTGTTACACTGCTTATCCAGAGGGATAACTTTGAGTGTATTCAGGAGCTTTTACTGTACCCATTTTCAAGTCAAAGAAATATAATACATACTGTATATATTTAAAGGGTAACTGCCCTTTCCACCTCTTTGTTGAGAATTCAGTCCTGTTTAATATTAGTGAGGTGATGAGAAATAGACATGAACTGTCCCCAGTGGACATATTAAAAGTTCTATTTTCCTATTTGAATGAAAAATGGAGTATTCTAGCTAACAGAGTTACTATATTTCCCATTCAGAGCGCCACAAACTCTTTCCCTTCACAAATCACACAGAACGTCATAGTATTTGCTTGATACCTGAGATGAGGCAACTGTCATCCAGAGGTGACTGCCCAGGGACGGCAGTGCCCCAGAACTGAGGCTGGTGGGCCAACACCTACAAATCTACCTAACACTAACTTCATATAATAATGTTCTTTAAAATATTTTCTGTATCATTAAATATCAAGAGTTGTTGCCGTAGGGTGGTACAAAAGTGACAATAACAATTAAGAGAGAAGCCAGATTTATGAAGCTTATGGCATAAGATCTTAATTATTCAAAATGGTAAAACCAGGAAGGAAGAGAATTCTACAGTCTCAGACATGTCTACCTGCAGACCAGAGCTACCTGTGAAACTAACCTTTACTACCTTCAGTCTTCAGAGAGTTTTACAAATATAAATATTGTATGTAGTTACATTATTTGCTGGAGGCGTAAGCATTTTAAATAATGCTTCATGCTTGTTCTTTAAATAATTGACAGCCTGTAACCCAAGGGATTCACTTTGGTTGCTGATCTGCTAAGCATGAGGGGTTGTTTGCATACCTGCAAAGGTCCAATTGCTTCATGCTATCTTCAAGCAAACTTCATGGGAAAGCCATATGGAGCTTTCAAGGCATCATATTTTCTAGTTGAAAATTCAGGGGGCATCTAAAAAACAGAGCACAGAATTAAATACATGCACGAGAGCTGCAACAGCAGACATACAACTCACCGGGCTTGTAGCTAAAACATGCTGCTCTGTGAAAGCTTGAACCTAGTTGTCATCTTGGATTCCTACTGCTCGCTGTCTTTCTTTCTCTCTTCATTTTAAAACCATCCCATTCGGGCTACTATAATTCCTCACCTGGATTACTACAACAGCAACCTAACTTGTATCATGTCACTCTCATTTCTGGGACTTAAATGTGTTATTCCCTTATCATGGAATGGCCTTCCCTCACCCCAAGTTCTTCCTTGGCAAACAGCCCCTGATTCTTCAAGACTCAGCTCAGGTTTCACCTCCTCCTGGAAACTTTCCTTTATCTCCTAAAGCTTAATCAGATGCCTCTTCTCTCTCCCCCCAAAACACTTCTCACACAATGCTAATTACCCATCATAGTACACCCCATCACCCTAAAATACTGTAAGCCTATCTGCCACCTTGCTGGGTCTTATGTTCCTCAAGGGTAGAAACTAAGTCTCATTTTTCAATTATGTGTCTCCAGCACCTAGCAGCGAGGTAGACACTAGAGAGCAGGTAGTACAATCTTTGTTGACTGACAGACTGCTTTCCTTATTTGTTCATTTAGGCGACTATATCTTACCCAAGCTGCTGGACAGGAAGTGCCACCTGAAGAAATGCCTTTGGAGTTACCAGAAACATATATAGGTATTATTTTATTGTAATGATGATGGATTTTTTTCAATTTGACAAATGCTTATTGAGCATCTATTATAGACAGGCACCTCATATCCAAGAGCTATTCGGGGAATAGGTACACGCCAGCTCCTCTGTATTTCTCTTCTTCTTGCAGTGCTTGTCCTAACCTATCTCCTTTCTCTAGTCCTATTTTCAAATCAAAGTCACTATGTTTCACGGTGAATTAAATAGATACTGGTGGAGAGGGACAGAGTGTTGTCTACACTGGCGTGTTTTGGGTTCCAATTTAGCCGGCCAACCAAAATACAACACACAAGTGAGTTCCCATATGATTACTGCAGTTGATTAGCTGACAGAAGGAAATAACAGCTTAGAGTTTCTAAAAATGAGACTGACTCTCACTTTAATACATAGATTCTACATTTCTGATATAAAGGTCTTTCAAATTAAGAATGTGACAAGGTATGTATTGTAGTTTTATTTTTATCTGTCCAAAATGTATATATAATTAATTTCTTTGCATTCATCCCAGAAAAGTCAAAATCACAACCCATAGAAGTAAAAAGTAGAGACACGATGATCTCATCAGTTGGGAGCAGTGCTCTACATCTTAGTCATGAGGATAGCATCGGATACGGCCAGTATCTGAAGACAGATGAAGGAGAGAGCTCATGTATAGAGTTTGGGACCTCTGATATGAAATACTTACTGTATGAGGATGAGCTGGATTTCAAGGTATGATTCATGAGAAAAAAATTTTGACTACTAAGAGAGTGCTATTTTATTAATTAATGGAGAAAATTAATCTAAAATATGGATATTGAAAAATTCTCTTTGCAATTATTAGTAAAATTTGCCCACCATTCACTGGATAATATTCATTGGATACTATTTTCACTCCTACTCTTGCCCAATTTGCTACATATATTCATTTATAGACCTCCATTGCTAGTATACCATGTAAGTTATCTAATGCTACATAACAAATTATCCCCAAACTTAGTGGCTTATAACAATAATCATGTATTCTGTTTCAGGGCATCTGTTGGTTAGGAATTCAGGAAGGGCTCCACTGGGCAGTTCTCAGTCAGGCTCTCAGGCAGTTGCAGTCATATGTTGGCTGGGGCTGCAGTCACTGGAAGGCTTGATTGGGGCAGGAGGATCCACTTCCAAGTGGCTCACTCACATGGCTGGCAAGTTGATGCTGGCTAAGCTGGGGACCTCAGTTCCCCCTGACATGGGCCTCTCCACAGGGCACCTTTATTGTCCCTTTGTTATGGTATCTGGCTTCTCCCAGAGCACAGCAATCCCAGAGACCAAGATGAAAGCTGCAGTGTTTTGTATGACTCAGCCTTGGAGATCATGCACCATCACTTCCATCAAATTCTATTGGTTGATGTGGTTACATAGTTCCGTCCAAGGAGAGAGAATGTAGCTCCTGCATCTTGAAAGAGGAAGGAGTATCACATTGTAAGAAAAGCATGTGGGATAGGATATCTATTAGTGTGGCCATCTTTGGAAAGTACAAACTGCCACATGTACTATTAGGTGAAATCTAGGGTATCAAGCCTTTGAATTTTAAAACCTTTTGTTACATTGCAATTACTCCCACATCCACCCCCTCTTATTTTCCTTCTTGGTACTACCAATACCTTTAAAAGTTCTCCTAGAACTTAAAGTCTGGTGGGAAAAAGAGTGATGTAAGAAAGCAGAAGAAACTGATAAATCAACAAAAACCATTTTAACTAAGTACAACTCATTCCTGCTACCATCAAGTGACAATTTAAAGACTAAAGTTCCAGTCTCTATAGCATTCAAACACCCCCAATAGTATCTTGGAATCATGACACTTGTTATGTTATGATGACCTCAGGCTAATGGACAATTGTCTACAGAATTCCAAAACTACATACCATTTGGTTGGATGAAAGACCTTCTTACTTTCCATGGAAGCTTTTGATGTGGTGGAAATGACATTGTGTATGCTATGGACTAAATTGTGTCTACCTCTACCCCAAATTTATATGTTGAAGACTTAATACCCAATGTGAGTATATCTGGAGATAGGGTCTTCAGGAGCTAATTAAGGTTAAATGAGGTCATAAAGATGGAGCTCTAATCTTATAGGACTGTGGCCTTATAAGAAGAGGCTCTGCCTTGTGAGGACACAGTGAGAAAGCAGCCATCTGCAAGCCAGGAAGAGAGCTCTCACCAGAACCCAATCATGTAGGCACCCTAGTCTTGGACTTCCCAGCCTCTAGAACTGTGAGAAATAAATTTCTGTTGTTTAAGCCACTCAGTCTATGGTATTTTGTTATGACAGCTTGAACAGACTGATAACAGTGTATTACTTCAGAAGTCTCCTCCAGAGGATTCTGAAATATGTGGTAGACATCTATCGATTTGTTTTTCTCCTATTACCTTTATTGTAGCTCTATAATTATATATTTTTAAAACTAAATACCATTATATGCATTTTTGAGAAATAAAGCATTTCCTTCCTTTTTCATTCTTTGATTCTCCTAAATTCTAATAAATGTTTATTGAGAACCCCACAACATGCTTGTTAGATGCTTGGGAATTTAAGGGAAGAGCAGGAAGAAATGAAATGTCAAAGATGCCTACATGGCAGGCCCTACCCTCAAATTGCTTACATGCTAGTAGAAGACAGATAAGAAAATCGTTAATTACTGTACAAGAGGAATGTACCCCTGCATCTGTCTCTCTGACCAGTCTGTGAGCTTATCATTGCACCCCAGCACTTGGTACAGGGCCTGACACATAGTGGGCACTCAGAAGAGGTTTGCTGAAGAGTTGAAGGAATTCAATAGAGAGAATTATGACTTGAGGAGGCTTCCAAGAGGAAGGCACATTGGGTAAGGCCTGAGTTGTTTCAACTCAGTTTGAGGTTGGCTGTGGGATTTCATATAAATTAGACTTCTAATTCTGTTTGTTGATATCTTAAACTATAGTTAATTTAACAGAATGTGGTAAGTTTTAGCTATACAGTAGCCAGAGGTCCTGTGAAAAGTACAAAATTCGTGGAGAATGTGCTCAATATTAGAATATTTGTAGTCAAAGTGATGTTTGCAGATCTTTTCCTTTCCACTGAATAATATAGAAAACTCTGCTGTGGTTATATCCTGGCCAGCAGAAGGCTGCTATATATACAGCCAACACTTTTTTTTTTACCAAAGAGCTTGCAGGAGATATATCTCCCCACTCCAGCTAGTGCCCCCACCCAAGCTCCCAAAAGACAAGCCTGCCAGCCTTGCTGCCTGCTCTTTGGGAGATCTTGCCTACCATGCCCCACTGGGTATATAAGTTTACTGAGTGGTTTTTTATTTACAGTAGCTCTCATACTTCACATGCTATACAGCATTCAGGCAATTAGGAGGGCAATGAAATCTGTCAGATAAAGGCCAACCATAATAAAGAAAACCTAATCTATTGAGGCTGGTAACTTGCTGAATAACCTCTCCTGTTCTCTTCTGTGTCTGTTTACCATAGGATTATGTAAAGTTGGGACCCCTGGAAGTGAAGCTCATGAGTGTGGAGGGCAAGAAAATGCCCATTCATTTTCAAGAGAAGGAAAATCCAGTCACACTTCTGTGAAGATGTCAGGAGCCCAGAAAGCCACATCACGTATAAAATTAGGAAGTCTTTTCTCTAAGACTGAAAGCTGCAAAGTAAAACAACAACTTTTCTTTATAAATTTTCTTTGGGAACTAAAGTATATCAGTTGCCCATTTTATTTACACTTAGGTCCATTTTTAAACCAGTTGTTATTTATAAAGTCATAATTACACTTAAAATCAAAGTTCCAAGTATTCAGCTATTCATTTACCTGCATGGCATGAGTGACCAAAATGAAAGCACACTTTATGTTTCCATATTTTAGTATTCAGAGGCAAGATAGTGAGCCCAAGATGGTCTCTGAGGTTCCTTACCACTTAAAAATTCACTGATTAATCCATGATTCCAATATGAAATAGTTCAATTAGAAATTTTTCTAAGAAAAATTTAGCATAGTGCTGACTACGCATCTTTCCCTCTCAGGGAAAACATTTCAAAAAGATATAATACAAAACATACACAAAGTCTTTCAGAGAACTGAGAAAAAAGAAACACTTCCCAATCATTCTATGAGACCAATATAGTCTTTTTTTTTTTTTTAATTTTATTTTATTTATTTTTTTCCCCCAAAGCCCCAGTAGATAGTTGTATGTCATAGCTGCACATCCTTCTAGTTGCTGTATGTGGGACACGGCCAGAGAAGCGGTGCGTCGGTGCGCACCCGGGATCCGAACCCGGGCTGCCAGCAGCGGAGAGCGCGCACTTAACCGCTAAGCCACGGGGCCGGCCCTAGACCAATATAGTCTTAATACCAAAACATGGCAAGTCATTACAAGAATAGAAAATTATGGGATAGTATCTCTCACGAATAGACAAACAAAATCTTTCACAAAATATTAGCTTATTGAATCCAGCACTATATATATTTCATGAATAGGGAATTCAGGTTGGTTTAATGTTCAAAAATCAGAGTGGAAACATGAGCAAGATCTGTGGATTATATCAATGTCAATATCCTCGTTGTGATGTTGTAGTATAATTTTGAAAAATGCTATTATTGAGGGAAACTGGATAAAGAGTACATGTGATCTGTCTGTATTATTTTGTACAACTGCATGTGAATCTATAATTATCTCAAAATTTAAAAATCGAGGTACAATGAAGAGAACATAGGAGGTAATTCATATGATCATCTCAATAGATGCAGCATTTGATAAAATTCAACAGTATGATAAAACTTTTAGCAAACAAGGAATATCTAAAAAAAAAAAAAAAAACCCTAAGCTGACATCACACTTTCCCACTGAGGTCAGGAACAAGACACTAATGTTCACTATCACACTTCTATTCAGCAGTGCTAAATAGAACTGGAGGTTCTAGCCAGTTCAACAAAGGCAAGAAAAAGAAAAGCATAGAGATTAGAAAGGAAGAAGCAAACTGTCTTACTTCTAAATGTCAAGGTTCTGTATGTAGATAATCCAAAGTAATATCTACAAAGTATTAAAATTTGTAAGTGAATTTAGCAAAGTCACAGGGTACAAGATCAACAAAGATCCATTATATTTCTTTATACTAGCAACAAACAATTGGGAAAAAATAAAATAATATCATTTGTAATAGCATCAAAAACATCAAAATCAAAGTATGCATCTGGTGAAATAGGAGCAGACTTCTATGCTGAAGACTTCAAAACATTGTTGAGAGAAATTAAAGACAACTTAAATATGTGGAATAAACAGAGAGATACACTATCATCATAAATTGGAAGATTAAAAATAGTTAAGATGTCAGTTCTTTCCAAATTGACCTATAGACTCACTGCAATCCCAATCAAAATTCCAGCAGTTTTTTGGAGAAATTAACAAGCTATTTCTAACATTATTATGGAAATTTATAATCTAGACAAAAGGCCTATGATAGATGAGACAATTTTGAATAAAAACAACAAAATAGAGAACTTAACACTACCAAATTGCAAGACTTAATGTAACATTTCAGTAATTAAGACAGTGCAGTATTGGCCCAAGGATAAATAAAAAGTCCAATGGAACAGAATAAAGAGTCCGAAAACAAACCCACACATATACAGTCTCTTGATTTCTGACAAAGATGCCACTATAATTCAGTGGGGGTGGGGGAGGATGGTCCTTTTAATAAAAAATGATGCTGAGGCGACTGCATATCTGTATGGGAAAAAAATGAACCTTGACTCCTACATCATACCATATTCAAAAATCAAAGTGGATCAGAGTCCTAAATATGAAAGGTAAAATAAAGCTTGTAGGAGGAAATATAAGAGAATATCTTCATGTCCCCCTCTGCACACCCAATAGATCCTCAAAGCCTATGCTCGAAATTAAAAACTACATCTGGTACATGGGTCAATGTAGATTTGGCAGTGTTCAACACACACACCTTCACCCCCCAAGCCTACTGCTCCCTATGTCGCCCATCTTCCTGGAAAAAAAACATGCCATAAAAATCGCTAACCATAAAAAGATTGATAAATAGGAGTTTGTTAAAATTAAGATCTCTCTTCATTAAAAGACACCATTAAGAGAGTCAAAAGGCAAGCTGCACACCAGAGAATATATTTCCTATACATGTATCTAACAAAAAAATCATATTCAAAATATATAAAGAACTTCTACAAATCAGTAGGAAATAGGACTATCCCTTTTAGGGGAAAAAATGGGCAAAAGACTTAATAGGCACTTCACCAAAGAGTATATCCAAATGACTAACAATCATAAAAAGGAAATCTACATTATTACTCATCAGGGAAAAGCAAATTAAAACCATGAGATACCTTATACACCCACTAGAATGGCTAAAATTAAAAATTTGAAAATAGTAAATATTGACAAAGATACAGAGCATCCTGAACTCTCATATATTTGTTGGTGGGAGTAAAAATTCACACAAACACTTTGGAATATGTTTGGCAGTATTTATTAAAGCTGAAAGTATATGTATGTCATGACCCAGCAATTCCACTCCTGGCCTAATAAGAAACAGAAAGGAGTGTTTATGTTTACCAGAAGGCATGGATTAGAATGTTCCTTGCAGCTTTACTGATAATAGCCAAAACCTTAAAACAATCCAAATGACTATCAGCAGAATGTATAAATAAACTATGCTATATTCACACACTGAAATACTATACAGCAACGAAAAAGAATGAACTGCCATATTTGGCTATATAGATCAATCTTACAGACATAATATTGAGTGAAAGAAGGTAGACACAAAAGAGCACATACAGTATGATTCCATTTACACGATATTCAAAAACAGGACTAGCATACTAATCTTGATGACAAAAGTCAGAATAGGGGTTACCTTTGTGGTGGGGAATGACTAGGATGGTACATGAAGGAGTTTGCTGGTAATCTTGATCTGAGTGGCAGTTAACATTGATGTGTTCACTTTGTAAACATTCGTCAGGCGGGACACTTAAGATGTGTGTACTTGACTGATACATTTTATACTTCAGAAAAGTTTCCCCCAAAATTGTGCCGCAAGTACCTGTATTTCAAGCCATTCCATAAAGTGACAGCGTGGAAAGGCCATGCTTATGTCTTGCAGTGCAAACGGCAGCAAGAGTGTTTCCTGACAGGAAGGCAGAATACTTTGATAGGGCAATCTTTCAAAGGTCAACAGAAACAGAAATGTCCTTGGAAAAGTTAATAACAACATGGAGCAGATTTGCCAATTTTCTCTTTAAGAAAGAGACGTAAACTTTTTATAGATAAGATTTATCTCTACTTCTGTCAGATAGGAAAAAAAAAACCTACTGACTTTCCACTGGGACAAATCACAGAGCTTCCAGTAACCAAGTGCAGCCTATGTGACAGCTCACTGGTTTCAGCAGGTCAGCAGAAACTGACATTGTTTTTCTCTCACACTTGGAAAGTTCAGACCGTGAGATTATTAAAACAAGCCAGGCATAGCAGGGTAGGACTCCAGCGTTAATTTGTTAGTTGTGGTAGTTTCTACTTCACAATGTGAATTTGAATCGGAAGAAACTATCACATGACTTAAAGCCTTGTTTGCTGCCAAGAAAATGTCAGAGTCGAAAAGTCATCCTTTGGAAAAGGAAGGGGGAGACTGTTCTTTCCTTCAGTTAATATTGTGTTTAGAATTTGCAGACCAGCCGTATCTCTAAAACAAATATGCGAGCTTTTCCTAACCCAAATTCTAAACAGCTTATGGTGGGAGCTTCATTAGATGACTACATTACAAAGGAAATTTCAGTAAAGTTGTTGTACCACGTGAACGTCTTATCAATGTCACTTATTCAGTGAAGAGTTTATCAAACGAGTCCTTCCAGGCTGGCACTGTGTGTAAAACATTAGGGGGCAAAATACAATTGCCCCTTTCCTCAAGATACTCCAGGTCCCATAAGAGAGCCTGATGGGTCAGGAGAGCCTGTTGGGGCTGGAGGAAGCTGCTTTTGCTCTTCAACAATAACAGCAGAGAAGGAAAATGGGATAAGGCAGGACAAGATATTCTAGGTGGGGTGGGTGGTTGTGTTTAACTGGAAATATTCTATTTTTGGCACTATTAGTAGTAGGTTGGGAAAAGAAATTTAAGATGAGTTTAGGAGGATTTTATGTAGGTTTCAGTTCTCAGAATAACCAAGCATGTGAGTTTTAGATATTGTTATTCAAGATTTTGGGGGGTAGGAACTAGATGTCAGCCTGTTTAGCCTCAGGCTCGGAAATTGCTTCCTTTGGCCCAGACTTCAGATAGGTTTGAGGAAATTAAGGAATTGTAGAGATACAAGGTAGAGTATGGGAAAACACATTCTAGGTAGTCCCTTTAAGTGGCTGCCTTGAATCTCCGGCAGTCACTCAACCCCTTTCAAACCTGGTTTCCTCATCTATATTCCATGGACCTAATTCCCATGTTGCAGGATTATTTCAAGGATTAGAGAGAGTGGATGTAACCTGCCCAGGGTGGGAAGGCAACACATGCAGTTGAAATGATGACTGACTTGTAACAGTGCTCTCGGGAAGTAAGGCCCAAGACGTCTGGTTGGCTGTCCTCGCAGTGCGTTTGTGTGGAAGATCGCAGGGAGCGCCTGTGTCCCATCCATCATG